ACCTTTTGGCTTAAAATAAGGATCTGATTTTTAAATAAAGGAATAGGACATGCGGACCAATAAAGAAGGACAACACATAATTAAAACATACATGACATAAAAAGATAAGTGAGAAGGTTGTTAATATTTATTCAAACTATATAAATTTGTATATTTCTTGGTATTTTGCCAAGTTTTTTTAATTGCTGATCTTTTACTATGTACGAGCATACAAAGAAAAAACTTTTTCTTATTATCTATTTTTCTTTCTTTTTATTTATTTATTTTTTTTCTCTTTTTTATCCGTAGAAAAGTTTCGGCTAAACTATATGCACATGCAGGGTAATTATCAATTAGAAAGCGGACAGCGCTGCTGAAAAGGTTTCGGTATAACACTACCTTACATTTTGTGTCAATAAAATAAAGGCATTAGAATAAAATTTACTCTTATTTTATTATATTAGCACGCCATGCCACTATGATGATGTACTGTGAGAAATTTTGTAAGTGTTTGATATTCAAGCAGGTACTTTACGTGTCATAAAATAAAATAAGAGATACAAAAATATATATCATTCTCTCTACTTGTACCATGACATGCAAAGTACCACTTGAATACCTTATTAGAAAAATCTCTCGTTTCATATAAATCTTTCTCGACTTAAAACACAATAAGGTGATTATTATTTTATTTAAATTATAGTATGTGCATTTGTTTTTCCTTTTTGAGCAATAAAACTAATATATTCTAAAAATATGTGCATTTGTTTTTATTAATATATTTTAAAATAAAACATTTTAGTTATATTTCTCGCTCTACATAAAATGATATACTGCTTGACAAATATTTCATATAAAAGTAAAAGGCAAAATAAATGCGAAATTAGTACAAGTAAAAAGGCTAAAATGAAAAAAAAAAAAAAAAAAAAAAAAAAAGAAGAGAAAATTGCTAGTATTTTCTTAAACGAACGGACAAAGAAAAAGAAATCACATTATTGTTTATCTATAAATAGAAAGTTTGGCTATGCTATTTGCACATGTAGGGGAATTACCAAATAGAAAGCTCATAGCGCCGCTACCTCTTTTAAAGATTGCCCAGCTGAATTTCTAAGTGTAGTAGTTAGACTTACTTTGTTTCTTTTTCTTTCTTGTTGCCTTTTCTCCACGTATGCAGGATGAACATAAAATCTAGTTGAATAAATAGGCGGATTGAACATGATTACTACAGTTGTTTTCACAGTTCTTAATCATAAGAACTATGACGATTGGAGTTCTCGGATCAAAACCTACTTGTTGGCCAAAGATCTTTGGGACGTTTTAGATCAAGAACATCCTAAAAAGAAGATGAAGAAAGTAAGGCTTGGAAGAAGAAGATGTTGGAAATATTGGCGATACGGATGCTACTTCTCTTACAACAAATCACATAAAAATAATATTAGTATATCACAATATGATTACCACAATTCATCAAATAAAATGAACCAAATGCAATAAAATACTTATATTTTGTAGAGTAGAAATGCTCTTCATCCATGCTTGATTAGAATAAGATTTTAGGTTTAGGCGTGTAATCACTGTCCTTGAAAATAGATTTCGCTCCTTTAAGATAATGTCTCTGTGTAGCAGGTTATGGCACCCTACTCTCCAAGATACAACAATCTATGATCCTCGTAAGTGTACACTCACAATACTTGGATCGAGTGAACAACTCGATTCTTCCTTTGGCATATAAAAGGTGAAAATTATAATAGCATTTGAGATAATACAAGAGATTAGGAGAGGAGAGGATGATGAGACTGTTTTTTTTTAACTTGGTTGGGTTTGTCCATCGAAGGAAAGGAAATATTTACTCAATCATCAAAATTGGCATAAGCCTCAAAGATTATATAGGACAAAGTAGGCTATACATGAAGACCAACTAACAGTATAGAACGTTTGCCATTAAAACCCAACGGTTATAAATGAGTTAATGCATCAGTTTCAGTTTTACAAATCAAAACTGGAATTAAGAATTTAAAAATAAATTGAATAGGATTAAAGTGACCAATAAAGAATTGTATTTTGAAATACCCAATTAAAATTCTAACAATCCCCCACATATTTCAAAATACAAATCGACTCACAAGAAGAAGGGAATTAGAGAAACACATGTATAATGAGAGGACAAGGAAGTACCAAAGGAAAGTGAGAATCCAACGCATCATAACTGGTGTCTTTTGGACTATGAACCAGTCTTAGGATGAGTTAGCTGTAACTCATAGAAATTTGGTGAAATTTATATTTTCTATGAACTAAGATTTCTTCGTGTGAATCATAACCACCCACATTGCATTCTTGAAATCGAGCTTGTTCTAGCGGGTTGGCGCGAATAGGCTATGCGCCCACTTGGATATTCATGAGTGCTCTAGAGAACCTGCCTAAGCTCTCATAGGAAGCAGCCTCACTCCCACACTCAAATAGGTGAATCCATCAAGTGTGCACTGCAGTCAAGCACACCACCTACATATAGGCTATGGTATTCATTAAGAACATAAGTTCAACCTCACACGCTGCAATAGTTGCACTATCTACACCATAGGGATAGACTCTCAATATAGTTATTGATATAAATTGATAATGCACGCCCAATCAACAAGTGACTTGTTCTTACCCATATGATCACCTACTTCCTAGGATCTCCATTCACATAGGTTGGGTTACCATCACTCTTGATTGATGTTGTAGGCATATGTCTCATCCCAAGAAAGTACCAACTAACAAGGGTTACTTGAGGAATTGGTATAAAGTTGAATGTCAGTGTTCCCATCACTTGATTTTTGGATGTAGAAATTGAGAAGAGATTCGGTTGTAAGACTACTACAAATTTCATCAGGCTAAGAAAGAACTCTCGGTTTCCAAAAGTTAATCGGAGAGAACAACAACTCGAAGTAGGACAAACTGTTTTAGTCGTCAACCGACTGAGTTGTTGAAGTCTAGGTATGACTCTAGGGTTCAACCTTTTACCTTGTGGATAGGTTTGAGGTTCCCTAAATAAGGTATTTGGTTGGTTGGGCGACAATGGCTCTCCATAAAAGTTACGTGCCGTCTTTTCTTAAGGACGCAGTTGTAGTTCGAAAAGACGCAAGGAAGAACTAGTGTAGTACATAAAATGGATCGAGGTGTAACTCACCTCACTATTGGTGATGGCTCCATAAGGAATTGGAGAAATGACGCCAAAGGTACACATTCTCGGATTGTACGGTATTGCTTCTTTTCTCTACGCCTCACGCTACAAGGTCTTTGTCAGCTTCTCAAACTCATTCCGCTCCTACAGTGGGAAATTTACCCAAGCTTCAACTCCACTGTCTGACTATGAAAGTAATCGAAAAAGTGACTAATCGAAGAGGTTCCGATTACCTAAATGGGTAGTGTGGTTAACACGACTACGAGTTCATTGTTCTACTGCAAAGCTTGTTCCTAAGTTTCCACGATCTAGTTTTCCGGCTCCAATAGTCACTGTTAATCAGTCTATCAATCGCGCCACTAATTTACGCGCTTAAGATATTTTTATATTGTTCATTACCCTGAAACTGTGAACCAACATTCTGGTATAAAGGTATCACTCCCAGATACTAGCATCTATGTCCGGTATCAGAAATCATACCACTAAATACTAGTCAACGGTCTCTGGATATCGGATAGCATCGTCAATTAGTAGTGCCTCCATAGGCTAATTATGGGTTTAGAGCCCATTCGAGTAGATAACTTCAGGTGATTGGAAAGGAACTGGTCAAGTGAAGTAGTTCGTCGATTCTAGGAGGATTTGATTACTGCTTTTGGGATTCTTGGTACTCCCAGGGTATGATAACTCATACCCGTGAGCCTATACTCACCCAAAATATGAGTATAACATAAAAAGGAAATCTGGGAATTAGCGTTGGTTGGAAAGTTCCAGGGCTGGAAAAGGAACTTGCTAATAATCTACTTTGGAACGAACTTTATCGGGAGTCAATCTTCCTCTTGAAGATCCATCATGAACACCAGTACGTTTGAAGACTAATGATTTTGGGTTATGTGGTGTCTCAAACGACAAAGGTTCAAGCATCTGTATGAAGAGATAAAGATTTTAGAGTCACATCCATAAATAATTTTGTTGCCAAAAATGCAGAAGGTGGAGAGCATTGCAGATGCCAAGGATTGTGAATTTGTAAACAATGATAATAAGACACCACAAGAAGTATTTACGGAGAATCACAAAAAAATGTGGAAAGAGGCAAAAAATTCAATGAAGGAAACAGCAAATTCTTGTACAGTTGTAGGTGCTCTTATTATCACCATAATGTTCGCTGCAATATTCACAGTTCCTGGTGAATATGATGAAGGTACAGGTCTTCCCATATTCTTAACTAAAAAGATATTCATAGTATTTATGGTTTCAAACGCACTCTCACTTTTTTCTTCCACAACTTCGGTTATCATATTTTTGGGCATTATCACGTCACGTTATACTGAAGATGATTTCCACGGATCATTGCCCACAAAAATGATAATAGGCCTTTTCACCCTCTTTTTATCTATTGCCACCATGATGATTGTCTTTTTTTGTGCCCTTTACATTATGCTCGATGGAAAATCATCGATTATTATTCCAACCATTTTGCTAGCCAGTGTTCCACTTACGTCGTACCTATGGATGCAATTTCCATTGCTCGTTGAGTCTTTTCTACTTTTGGACTGGGAGTATTCGAGTTCTGAAGTTTCTTATTTTTTAAGAAATTTTAAAGAGAAGCCAATGTACATGCTTTTTATTTGACCAATTATGTATGCGCTTTCCATTCTAATCCTACATTTGGATGAAGAAATTGCAAATTATTAGAAATTGTAAAATGACAGAATTTAAATTCTCATCAAATAAAATCCTCAATTGCAAATTTTATTGTTTGGAGATTATGTATGTGGAATTTCAAAAGGACAAATTATATTCATGATTTATTTTGTTTCTTTGTAGTTCAACATCAAACTCTATCATTGAAAACAATATAAGACAAAGAAAGTGAAAACCATATATGGCAAAAGAAAGTGAAACAAGAGAAATATGAAATATACTAGCCTCCTTGCACGCGCTCATTCACGCGCGTGCGGAAGACCCTTTTATGATTACGGCGTCAATTAGATTATTATAAGCTCCATGACAAGCTAGTCTTGTACATTATACTAAACAATGTTTTCAGCAAAATTTAATGACAAAAATACCACAATAGAAGTTTAACATGAGTGAAAGAGTTGATCTCTACCTCTAAAATGATAATCCTACCATTTCCCTGTATACTTGATGTCTTTTAAGTCCACCTGCTAGATGAAAATAAAAAAAATAAAAAAATAAAAAAAACCTGGTAACACAATTTGAACAAAAAGAGTCCTCAATCATGGAAAAATTCAATTTCATATGAAATAACTATGTTCTAATTTCAGGGCTTGACAATGGAATATTGGAATTTGCATTTGATTCAAATAAGTAAACTGATAAAGCAAAAGGTAACATAATCTATATCGATTTAATTATCCATCCAAAAAGACAAAATTTATATTGATTTAATTATCCATCCAAAAAAACATTTGAACGAAGAATATTTTTAAGGATCCAAACAGCCATTAAACTAAACAATTAAAAAGTAAAAACAGCAAAGCATTCGTTGAAGATATATATATATATATATATATATATATATATATATATATATTATAACGTATTTGGTTCTTTATACCTAAAAGAAAAACATTGGCTTTCTTGTCTGCACTGAAGTGTGCATAACTGTCGGAAATTTACAATCTATAGAGACTCAATCTCAGACTCAAAAGACATTTAAAGGAAAAGTAATAAGAAAAATAAGTAGTGGTTTTACAATCACAATTCAAAATTCAAGAGGCCTATAAATCAACCATATAGGAAAAGATCAGTAGAAGAAAAAGAAAAACAACTGAAATCAAAATAGATGATCAAAACATTAACCTCAATTTTTCAAAAACCAAGTGGTAGAATAGGCAAAAACTATCTCATGGCTTGTAAATGTAATTAACTCAATATTAAAGTTCACAGCCACAAATAAACCTAAATTCCTCGAAAAACCGTTAGTCAGCGTTGGAGGCTGCTCCCTCTCCATTAATTCAATATTAAAATACACAAATAAGTGAAATCAGCCAAATATGTATACATCTGGGTGATAAATGAAGCTCTGAACTATGAGACAGTGGATTGACAACCTATTAAATCAAATGAAAAATAATAATAATGAAAGAGATGAACTCTAATTGTCTCTCCTTGCACCATTTTTCAACTGGTCTTATAAGAACTCAAAAGTCACCATTTTTTTAGTTGGTCTTCTAAGAACTCAAAATTCAAAGAAATAAGGCAGTGACATCAAATTGAAAGCTGAACCAAAAATTAATCAGCCAAACTACGCAAACAAAACTATGCATAAAATTAAAGGAATAGAAAAACAAAAATTTGACACATGCCATTTTTTTTTTTTTTTTGTCTTAACCAACCACATTCGAGAATCTTCATTAAACCCTAAACATCAATAGAAATCGAGGATCAGAAAGAATTAGACAAAATCACAGATTTGAAATCAAAGATCAAAGCTGCCCAAATACCAAACTATCCATTGAAATCAAATATCACAGATTTGAGAGCAAGAAAAGGTTCTCCACTGCATTTTCCCTGCATTCAATCATCAAATTGTAGTTCATTTTTTTAAAAAATTAATAAACATTTCTAAAAATAAAAGTAAACTTCAAGCTACAGACAGTTTGCCTTGAATGGCTTCAGCTGGAGCTAAGTAGGCTTACAGTGGGCGAATCAAAGGGATAAAGACACTGCAATTTTCAGCTTCATACCAACATAAGCCTTGAAATGTTACATATATAAATTCTGAGTTCAAGGAACCCAAAAGCTGAATTCGTAGCTTACAAAAAGATGCAAATTTTAGCTATACTATTAAAAGCCAGGCTCATGACACATAATCTCTAAGCAGCCAAAGAAGAAAGAAACTAAAAGCTAAGATATTGTATGTACATTTCAACTACCTTAGGTCAAGCAATGACATAGGCCTGATGTTCCAAATGATGCAAAACCTGCAACATTGGGCAATTAGGAAAATTAATTCTTTTGGTTATAAATATTCAATTAGATGCATTTTAAATAAGAACAAAACAAAAAATGCACATAAAAGCAAGTTATGAAGATTAAGAGCGCAGAGAGGAAATGAAATAGACCTCAGCAAGAGTAGTAGTACTGCAGTTTGTAGAAGGTGCTCAATTAGCTTTTGCCTATACTTCTTTTGCCATCGATCTGCAAATTTTCTTCCCATTCAAAGAAAAGACTTAAAAAAAAAAAAAAAAAAAAAAAAAGAGCAGAGAAACCATCTGAAACAGTGCAATCAGCCAGAAAAAGAAACTCCTCACACGACAGACGATCGACGCAGAGAGAGAAGCAGTGCAAGCTGAACATGTAAAAAGATCCAATCTTTAACCAAACAATCTAAACCCTAAACCCTAACAAAATTACAAAGGAGAAGAGAGAAATAAACTTAAAAAATTAAATATATATGCACCACACAGAGATTGGATAAACATTTGATGATGAAATATAGCACAACTGCAATTAGGGTTTCATCAAATTTTGGGTAATTAATCCTTGAAATTAAGCTGATGATCTAAATTAAACAGAAGTTGAAACGAAATTAGTGAAAGGGAACAAACCTTGATCTATTTTGCCTTGCACCAGAGACATGGCTGGAGATCTCTCGGTCACTGTGGAAACTCAGTTTTGGTGGGTTTCTCAAATGCTTGGAGATCTGTTCGTACACACATATAAGATATAAAGCAGAGGAAGAAGAAGCAGCAGCAGAATCAGAAGAAACAGAGGCAGAGGAAGCCGATAGAAACGGAGCAAAGGAAATGAAGCAGAAGAAAAGGAACCCAATTGAGCTCCAGGGTATTCCAATGACCCTAAACAGATACTAACCCTAAATCATAATAAAAAAATTATAATTATTTAAAAATTACTGTTTGTATCACGAAAATTTTCCTGGATTATTTGATGTATTATTTTGGACTTCTTCTGAATTTTTTTTGTTTTGAGAGCATTTGTGTCCAAATTTTTTTTTCGAAGCCAGTGACACCAAATTGGCATGCTAGCTTTATATATAAAGAGATAAAACCCGAAATTCATAGGCACCAAATAAACTGGCGGTAAAGTGAAATTTGCAGAAAAACCAGAAACCCATAACCCATCCGCTCTCCTATCTCCTTCTCAACCCTGATTTCCAGAGTCCACATGATTTACAGCCCCCCACCGCACAACCCTAATTTTGTTATGCAGCAAGTTTGCAACATACTACAACACAGAGGGAGCAGTCTAATGAAGCAATCTCACCGTCCGAATCGTGAATAGAGCATTAATTAGCACCTCCGTCGAGGAGTTGTAGAAAGAAATCGAGAAAAACAAAGCTTTTGGGAACAGCACGAATAGCAGCTTTATAAAACTCATGTTGAGCTCAGAAAATTGGAACTGTGAAATGACGACCATTTTTGAGGAATTTGAACTTGGAGAATTGGACCCCCGATTTCTGTGTTTTTTTTTTTCAGCTCGGCAATTATCGATTTCTTTCCTCCAATTAGCCAAACGTGGAAAATCCAAATTCTTGTCGTCAATTCCCGGCTTTTAGTTAATTCTCAGGATTATTTTTCTTATCCAAACAGTGTAAAAGAAAATTCCAATTTCAATAGATATTTTTGGGTTAGTTACTAAGACAAACTCTCTACATGGCGCTAGTTCGATCTAATCGACCAATCATTTGGGTTGATACGATTTCCCTTCCCGTGCATCCCATCCTACCATATCAACCACCAAATCCATTCCACATCATTTTCACAAACAACGCCCAATCTAAAGTCCTTTCACCCAAGGCACAGAGAACCCTCAATCGAGACGAGTTCCTTCCTCAACCCTCAATCACATTGAAAGAGGTCAATTTAAGCCATCCAAAATCACCAACTTACATCTTTACTCGCTCGACCCTAGGCAGTGAGTTACCACGCTCGCTACACAAACTAGAAGACCAAGAAATCCCAAAATCCTTGGCTTGTTAGCCGAGACCGATTTTAGGACCAACAACGTTATAAGCGGAGAAAAGACATCCCAGCAAGTAGAGACTAACAAAACCAAGTCACATAGGCATACCAGAGGAGGTCAGTAGAAGGCACTGCCCAGCAATAACAATTAAAATACTGGAGGATATGGTAATTCATCGCGTGACAGGTTCAAGACCAAAGATATCATATCTTTGAAAATTACACGTACATCAAAAAATGTTTGGACTTCGAGAAGACGATTCACATGTTACTGGCTTAAAAAATGTTTGGAATATAAGAAACCTTTCCACAAATACTATCAACATTGATATCAATGAATGTATTATAACATGTAGTGTATCAACTCATATTTTGGATACACTAAAAGTCTCTCCCCACAATTGCCACGATAAATGCATCAACCACCATGGCCTAGGTGGACATAAAATTCCTTGGTAGAATTCTCTATCAACTCCAATTTCAATGTCTGCATGCACCACCCAACTCAGCATTCAACCATACATTAACCAGAGCGTTTAAATACCACATGCATTCACCTTATGAGAATTACCTTGTGGGAATTTCAAAAGGGACGTGTCATTCTCAACAGGGAGAGATTTTGCAGTGTGTTCGAAAGACGATTGGTACATCATGTGTCATAATACAAGTAAATAGACTTCTCTCCACTTATATCATACTTCTTTTTGGTCGTGGGTTCTCCGTGTGAATTTGTTCGATCTTGTTTCCTTGATTTTGTATATACAATAGACAGACTTGCTTAATTCTTATCTCCATCACGTAGGACTACGGACATGTTGAGGACCATAGACTGACTTGCTTAATTCTTATTGCTTAAATAAGAGTTCTGTATGCAGGTACGGAAAATGCATTGGCTGATCATGATTACTTTCTCTTCTGATCTTGGAAGTGCATACAAAGCCTTCATACTTTCTTTCGACTCCAGAAAGGAAGAGTTTGGAAAGGATCGTTAACCATTCAACATGTTTCTTCTGTAACAAAAGATAACTAATTTGATATATGGCCCTTGAAGAAGTATTGTATACGATAGGAAAAAACTTGTGGGATAAAGACTACAGCATACACATCAAGGTGAGTCCTAGTGTGATAAAAACTTTCATACTCCTTCAAAGGGTACTACTCTAAATTTGAAAGTATTGTCTTGTGAGATCCCACATCGCCCAGGGAAGTGATCTTTATATGTATATTCTCATCCCTACCTAGCATGAGGCCTTTTGGGAGCTCACTGGATTCGGGTTCCATGGGAACTCCGAAGTTAAGCGAGTTGAGCGCGAGAGCACTCCCATGATGGGTGACCCACTGGGAAGTTGCTCGTTAGTTCCCAAAAACAAAACCGTGAGGGAATGGTAAGCCCAAAGCGGACAATATCGTGCTACGGTACTGGAGTCGAGCCCGGGAAGTGGTCCCGCTCGGGCCGGGATGTGACATGTCTTCTTTTTCGATCTAAACCGTGGAAACATTAGAATTGTACAAGTTGGAACTTCGAATGGGAATTGCAATGATATACCATCGATATATTCAGTTATACCACAAGCTTGATTCCTTTTCGGAAATATGGTAATTAGATCTAAGCAGATGTAGGCCAGAGAAATCTCTTTGACAGAGGAAAGTTAAAGAAGTCTACTAGTGTGCCACTGTATTGCAGAGAAGTTGGGCAGAGAAGCAACACTGCGAGGAAAAAAAAATTTTGCGACGACGTATTTGGCCACGGAAGTGGGATTTCGACCCCAAAGGTATGGAAGGCATGGCAGTTGGCAGACTGAGAAGTAGAACAAGTTTAACTTATAGGTTGAGTCGTCGTCAATTCTTTGATCAATGTATATAAATTATGGGTTTCGGATTTCGTATCGAATTCTTTGATCAATTGAAGATTTCGTAGCATTAGTGTCAATCGAAGAATACTAAAAAAATATATCATTTTCTCTACTTAAATTATGATATGTGAAGGATAGCTTGAATACGAAAAATAGAATCTTGCAAAAAAGAATCAAAATATATGATGCCCTTTCATATACATAGTTAGGGACATTTGTAGGATTGTGAATTTTTCAAGGCCGGAGTAAGGCGGATTGAAATACTTATATCTCAGAAGTTCAATCATGGACTTAATAGCTCCGATCAGATTGAGTTGCTCAAATGGATCATTGATACCACCACACCTTGCTGTACTCTGAAAATGTATGCAAAGTCTGCCCACTTCGCTGAGATTGACTATTCTTATTCTGCAAGATATGGAAACCTAATCCAATTGGAGATCGGACGAGTTTTCTATATTCCTGAAAATTCGTACTATCTAGGAATTGGTGAGTGTACTATTTATACTTTCTTTGCTTTTTTTCTTCCACATATGCTCGATAAAATGGAAAATTATCAATCACTCCACCACACCATGTATCGTGTACAATATACTGTGCCTTTATAAAATGGACAGATTGTGGACCATGCTTTATGAAGCCTCCAAAAAATTGACGTCTTCTTTTGTCATAGCGATGGCCATATGAATTTATGAGTTTTTAAGGCAACCACCTACTGAATCAACCATCTTACCTCAGTTTGCGGTCGCAAAATAGGCACCATTAAGTGTGTACAAAGAAGGTGGGACATGACACCTAGGCTGAACTTCATCGGTGTGCACGTCATCACATCTTCCACTAATTTCGTCATAAATTTTGTGCGACTAAAATGACAATAATTAAAGCAATTTCTAACCGAAATGATTAAATATAATCTCATCTAGAATTATATCATCGCAAAAAATTATTTTAAGTGAAAAATAAAAAAGTACACATGTAAGACAAGCTCTGCAATAGTGTCAATGGGTAAATTGTGTCAAGAATTATCCTCGTTGGGAAGATTTCACTAAGATGTTTTGCCGTGAATTTGGACCGTTGGCGTTTAATGATTCTGCACAAAATACGATTAAACTTCTTCAAACAGGTTTGCTACGATTACATCTCTGAATTTCGTCGATTGGATAATCGAACAAAGGATATCGATACAGACCTACTCAAAATTTGTTTCATTGGTGGATTGCGAGCAGAAATCTGTCATGATGTCGAGATTCTCCGCCCTTGGGACGTTCATAAAGCGATTACAATTGAACTGATGCCAAGATAATTGAGTTGAAGATTAATACTCTTTCTAAATCAGGTAACTTGGCTGTTTATATTTCCCTTCTTGCTATAGTCATGTATATAACTTCTTGTTTCCAAATATCATTATACGGATCAATAGTTAGAAGCATGTTTTCAAAAGCAGTAGGCTTTTACTAAGATTGATAGGTTTTCAGATTCTATTAAACAGCATCTTTGCAGTTTCTTACGTTTTCCATGCCTTTCCCACTTAACCCTTTGAACCAAAATCAATCCAATGTAAACAATGCACGTTTAACATTTGCAGAACCTTCGCAGAAGATTGAGGACCCAATATCCATGGAAATGCCTCTTAGGATTCATCAAGGGTTAAGAAGTATCTAAAAGGCAGAGTGGTGGAAGGTACAAGATATTAACATACCAAACGTGTGTCTACATCGAATTTGTGTCGCATGTGCATAATCTCCACCATAAACAGATCAATGGGTTCCTCAGGTTTGCGGATGCAAAGAACCTGTCATTTGTAAAACTCTAGTTTGTCACGCATCACGAAGCAAGAGGTCTATGAACTATTCTAGATTCCATAAAAATGGATACAATCTTTCAAGCATTCTTATATAAACCACAAACACTCACCGAATTAACAACTACGTCGGTCAATTGATCCGCCAATGCTTCATATAACTGCATAACAGAACATGCCATATTAAATATATAAAGTGTAAAATATTCCATTTACTCTGAGCGGTATGAAAACCTAGTAAACCCACGCGGCCCAAAACAATTTAAACAGTAAGAAATCATACAAACAAAATACTAGATGCCTTTGTTCGCAATGTTGTCCTTGCTACCATTTTCAGAATCTCTTTGTCGGGCTCATTGCCCATCACAACAGGAGTTTTGAATTTCTCAAGAAACTGAAGCGTTGCGCTTCTGGCAATCCCAAAACCATCAACTGGGGATGCATCCCTAGAACAAGAACAAACTCACCATCATCAAGGGTGCCACAACAAAAAAGGAAGAAACGAAAAGAAATGGATTGACTTGGGGAACATTTCAGAACCACAAGGTGCAAAGATCTAGACATTTAACCCTTTATGAAGAACCAGAAGAAATGTCCAGTCATTGATTACAGGTAACTGTGAGTATGTAGTAACCAACCTTCGTCAATGTATCGCTCTGATTGTTTCATAAGCTCACCAATGAATAAGACAGTAGAGGTGGTGCCATCTCCGCTTATGTCATCTTGGGCAACAGCGGTCCTTGCAATCATAATTGCTGTTGGGTTCTGAATTTGCTGCAACCATTTGACAGAACACCAATGAACAAAGCAAAAATACGAAAAACACAAAACATACTGAACAATTAAATTTCACACTAAATCAATACAGCCAATTCGAGTAAACCCTACACCGTCTGTATTCTCACATTTGAAGCATTGATGTTATAGCAAAAAACAATAAAAGCATCGACTTCGAGAGTTTCAAAAACATATAAAAGCTTTCGATAACCAAACAGAACCTCGGTTACTAAATACAGCTTCATTTCGCATTTCGATCAAATCCATAAATCCTTAAACCCTAATTTAACACACTCTATGTAACGAATGACTGCACCAACCGGAGATCTAGGGTTCCAAAAACACAAAACCATACCATTTCTTTGAGCAGAGTGTTGCCATCCTTAGTAAGCTTAATGTCGCCAGTCCACCAACAAGCCTGAAAACATTATCGAAGAAATTAAAACTGAAAAATCAATAAAAAAATGAAAAAAGAATAAAAAAATTATAAAAGTAGTGTAATTTTTTCCTACTTTTTGATGGTTCCCTTGGGGCCGAGGTTGGTCTTGAGGACGTCCTGCAAGCCCTTGGAGGCGTTGATGTTCATGTGCAGCGCCGCCGATTTGTTCAGCACCTCCGCATTCGGATTCAGCACTCGAATCGACATCCTTTTACTTCTTCTTCCTCTTCTCCTCCTTCTTGTTATTCTGCTCAGATGAAATCCAAGGGGCGGAGGGAGTGAGAGTGTACGAGTTTTTGAAAACTCGTCCTCCAAAACTGTATGGTTTTATAAATCTCAGAGCGTGGGGTTTGTTAGGGCTTTCTGGAGGGGACTCGGAAAGGTCGAAACAGTATCCTTCCGCAAAACGTCGTCGTGTTGGTTTTACAGACCGACTAAATGGGCCGGTTCAAAAGTCTAAAGTCTAAAGAGGAAATGGGCTCATTGATGATGAATATTATAGCTCAAAATTATTGGGCCACAACAAAAACCCAATTCTTTTTTTCTTTTTGTTTTCCACTTTTATCTCTTGGATTGTCATCCTATAGAAGTAATGCATGGTCGAACTGTCCAGCGGTATTATTGCACTCATGTTATAAAGTATTCGTTTTTATTCCTCCTTAATTGAAAAATTATTCTCTCTATTTTTAAGATGTTTTGAACTTATCAATTTCAATCCAATCCTCCATATCAAATATGATAGACATTTATAAAAAAATCACATGTTAATCATGTATAAATTTTTTTTGTAAATAGTGGCCCTTTTGTCAAACGATAGGATGTTTGAAATATACTTCTACAACCGGTCCATTAACTCACCCACAACAAGCAAAATGAATTATAGACAATGTAAAACGGGAATATTTGTAACCTTCTCATTAGTTTGGACATTCTCAATTTTTTGTAGAATCCTACGATATTGCTTGATGGTTAGAAATTTTGTTCTAATAATATAGTTCGTGGTATATAGTTTATCAGTATCCAGCCCCTTCCATTGCTTGAGCAATGGCCAACATAATTCTCTTCCGATTCTTTTGGTGAAGATTTTGGGGATCTGTGAATCGTGTCCGTTCATTGTACATCGTGCGGTCAGTTTTTGTCAAATAGTGTTTGTTTTTAATTTTAAATAAAAATTTTAAAATAATTTCTGACCGCACAATGTACGATGAACGGACACGATTCACTATTCTTCGGGATCCTCACAAAGAGGATTCGGCGAGAAACCGAATTCGAGCAATGGTGGGATGGTCAAAATGTTGAACTTAATTATATACTTCATTCAGAGATCAAGAACAACCCTGCATGATGAACTACAAACTAATATACACGCATGCATTTATACTAGTCATAATATTCATTACATCATCATTTTGTAGAAACTAGGGATGCATTTACTTTTTGTCGTAGACGAGATGATTGAGATGAGATTTGGACCTTCCTTTCTCTTGGAAACAGAATGGAATTCTTACTCTCGATAGGGCAAGCATTCACATTATGAGAACTTTGTAACTTACCCGAGAAAGGGGATCAAAACCTGACTTATAGGACGCAACTGCTCCACCTATCATGGTAGCAGTTGCTATTAGTTTTCTTCAAGTTTTGTAACTGTCTTCCATCCATAATTTGTACAAGTAATATGGTTTTCTCACTTTATATTAAATGTGTACTTAATGTATATAACGTATACTATAACCATATTTCCTTTATTAAATGGTTTGGACCATTTCTCACACAAAAGTTCTTACATTCTCCCACATGAGAATGGTCATAACTATTTACAACATGGTGTCCAACGACTAGTACGTGATCACTGAAATATGATTATCAAAAGAAACCTTTCATTCGTACTCAAAGATTCATTAGTTGAATTCTAGACAATATAATACAGCAATAGTATCATTTGTGCTAAAACCACAAACTAATCGAATCCAAATGAGACTATATTTAGAGAAAACTCAAATGAGAAGACCTTCAACTGCAAGCATGATTCCCACTTTGCTTGACATAACAATAATGACACTGCAGATGTCATCCTTTATACTTTATTTATGCAAAATGCAAACATGAACATGTATCCGATTAGTCTTGAGCTTTTCCAAAAGAATTACATCGTCATGTAATACAAGTGAACATTATAAGCACAATTTCTAATCAAAACACATACATAAGACAATGGAAAATTACTTTACTCCACATTCAAACATGATCAGTGGAAAATTACTTTACTCCCACATTCAAACATGATCTATAATTGTTTGTATTCCTATATTTGGCAAAATGCCTTTGAAATGTTGTTACATGTAATGCTTTTGTCAATGAATTTGCAACCATGTGATAAGTACCAATATGCTCCAGATCGACAGTTCCTTTTCTGTTTTTATCTCGGAGCTTCAAATACTTAATATCTATAAGTTTTGAAGCTTCCTACCTTTTGTTATTGAGGTATTGTCACAAAAATCTTAATTGGTCTTTCAACACTTCTCACTATCTTCATGTCATAGATCAGGTTTCTTAACCACTCACCTTGCCTCATTGCTTCAAAAACAACCTATATACTCTAGTGGCTTGTTTTCTACTTCTCCATGAGACTACGCCACCAGCTAATATGAAAACATACCCAATTCTGCATCACAATAACAAATCACTTCCAAATTCTCAACTTGATGAAAACCTAGGACAGAAGCTTGTGTCTTCTTTGAGTATCTGAATACCTTTTTACTTGCGTTCCAGTGCGCAATGCCAGGATTTGATTGAAATCTAGCTAACACACTTAATGCAAAAGCCAAAAGGCCAAAACCGGTCTAGTGCAAACCATACATACATCACACTCACCTTTGGCAATGGGAACATCACCCCCACTGCAATATAATTCTTTTCATTCTATCACTTACAACTTCAATGCCTAATACATAATAAGCTTCACCCAAACCCTTCATGTCAAAGCTATTGGACAACATTTGCTTGGTCTCATTTAACAATTAGACATTAGAGCTTGCCAACAATATATAATCGACATATAGAACCATAAATCTAAATTGGAGCTTGCTTTAAACCATAAATGAACTTGTTGAGTTTGCATACTTGATTCTCCTTCCCCCTTTCAACAAATCATGGTGGTTGCTTCACATAAATGTCCTCGTCAAGACTTCTCTTTGTATAAATCCTTTAGCCACAAGCCTTGCCTTTAATCTTTCAACTTTCCCTTGTGCTTTAAGCCATAAAGGCTTCTTCCTTCGCTTTGAGATAAAACATTTCACATAGTGTATTCAAAAGTTGTCATCACAATCTACGAACTCAGCGTGCAGAACCTTCGGGTTCATCATATTCCGGTTCTTAACAAGTCGAGTAATTCTTAATGGAGAGAAATAGAGAGGATCAACTTCACTAAACTTATGTGGGAGAAGAAAGATCTTGCGCATTAAGTGTGGCTTCGTTTAGAGTAGTAGGCATCTGATCTGTTAATTTTGAAGCAGAAAATCCACCCAAAAATGAGCTGGATCCCTTCCCTTCTCGCTTACCGTCCAACTCTTGGTTTCTAAGCACATTACTTCCACAAGCATCGTGGAAAGAAGATCCGTCATACGTCATGGATGGAATAATAGAATTATGTGAACCAGATATGTTAGAATATACCCTTTGGTGACCTATATCGCAAGCATCCAACATACCTAGCCTTAGGTGCTGAATATGTGAAAGTAACTTCTCATTTTCATAATACATGTCCGGTAGATATATATACACCAGCTGAAATCACATATATTACACCACAATCATCAACAACATCTATTAGGGAGGTATGTAAAGCAGCAATCAACCTTGTAAACATTCTCCTACCAGAATAATCACCATGTTGCAAAACTCGTTTGTAATCAACTCCATCAAATTTAGTACTGTGTTTCTCAGAACCTAGAGACAATGCTTCTTGCTTATGAAAATCCAACTGAGGGTTGAGTGCTAAAGTCTGTGAAATACCTAAATGTGCAATATACTCACCGGACATTACTCCATAGAAAACAACTAAGCCAGATGCATTTAGACAAATAAGAAGGTTATCAGAAAACTGGAAATCTGTTCATTGTACCACTGAGCCAATATTTGGACATTCGTCAAGCTTCACCGAGGAAACACACTGAATTACCCACCTATCTGATCTAGCAACCAAAAGTACATTATTTTTCTTAGTATTTTCACTTTCATCACTAGTATTCAAAGTTACAGGATCAACCTTTGCGAAAACAAATCCAATAAAGCAATGTGAATTGCTTGAAAACAGCCTGGAGCAGCACTTGTATAAACAGTTCATTCCAAAACCAAAAATATTAAACAAAATTTCAGATTTGAAATGCGGACCGGATGAAGTCAAATGTGTATTTATAGACTTATCACTCTCTGACTCATGAACTCTTTCCTGCCTGCACTCATTTGACACTGAATCACTGTTAGAAATGAAGTCCATAAACGGTAAATTACTATAAAACAAACCAAATGAAATAACTTTCGCAGAGCAAGGAAACAATGACTTTTCTAGGGATTTGGTCAATACATTACCATTGTATTCAACAATTTCAACTTTTGTCAGAAAAGATTGCCAACTATTTCTTAGAAGCAACTCATTTGGGCAACTTGTCGTTCCCGGGCACATTTCACTTGTTATGAGGAGTGTCACTGTCTCCATTGGATATGTTTAAATCAATATTTCCAGTGGCTTTAACACTCAAACTGGTTGGTTCCTCCACCACCATATTTTCAACTAAGGAACCTTAATCTTGTGTGATCGAAAATATTATCAAAATCTCAATGGGACGAGTTTATGTATAAATCTGAAATGGTAAAACACACCACCCCTGCACATACTCACCATGCAGTGCATTCCTGTCAACATCAGTGTTTTCGGTGGATTCAACAAAAACATGTACCACACCAGACCTTGTTTGCCAGATACAAACAAAATTTCAGGAAATAAAGCATCCTTGTGCTGATCATAATTATGGCCACATACACCCCAATTGGTTTGATGTCATGAGATCCTACAACCAAGGACCAAACATTGTTCTTTGCCATGTATTCCGTAGCCAAATCACAAATTGAAATTCCTCCCCTATGTGATCTTCCATCGCATTTGCATTATGAGAATGGACTTTTGATTATCCCTTTCCCACATTACACATTTGCTGTTGCGTGCTTTCTTCAGTTAGTGCAGTCGGTTGAGGTAGCTTGAAAGCAACATCAAATTATAGCATGCCTAAATGCGTTTCAATCTTTA